GTAAAAGGACACAGTGGAAGAAAAAAACTGAGAAAAACCGTCGACAAGGCCGTTAACAAAACCCTCTTTCCCACTAGCAGTGAAGGAGGCTGGCTTGGGGAAGAGGCACGTACAAACAAGTTTTCTGGAGATGTCAGTCGTTCTATCGGTTGATACGGCAATCAACCTAGCTGATTTCACACGTTATGCCAGCCACGCACCACTTCCGGAGGTGGGCGGTCGGAGCGCCGCCAGGCGGCGAAAGCGCTTAATACGTGCCCTGGAGCCTTATTACGGCGCCGTTTGGGATTCTGAGCATGGTAACGTCTCTGTGGGTGCGTAGCCATGCACAAAGACGACAAAAGGGATTGGTTTGGTTTTCTTCCTCATCATTTTTTTCAATTTGGCGGCCCAAAAACCGCAAGGATAAGAACGATTTTTTGCATTTGATATTTGTCCTGGTGGTGACTGCAACAATCACACCTCCTTCTTTCTGATCTTTGACGATCATTCTTTCTTTGGTATTTGATCTTTCCTTACTTATTCGGGTGTTTACCCGCATTCCATAAGAGCCTCTTTGTTACGTTGAAATAGATGCAGCGTGCCAGAGCACCTTACAGTTCAGTTTGAGGAGTGGCATGTCTGTGGCTATTCCACTGATGTTGTGAGCTGTATAATGTTTGGTTTCAAAAAGAAGAATACGTTGGCCTCCATAATGCTCACGAAGGTGGATAGCGCAGCCTCCAAAAATAACGTCTGTCGAAGGCTGAATTCTCGTGAATACACGCATTTGTGAACTATTTTGAAGAATTACCGTGCAAAAACCCTTTAAGCATACTCTGCTCCCCACCAGGGCTACCTTGGCGAGGAAAATAAACTCCCTAGGATGAAAAACCGAGCTTTTTTGTAGGGCACTGTACAGAAAACGTAGCGTCCTCTGAAGTCGTCGAAGTTGCAGTTGTTGCCAAAAGCGTTGTCAGTAAAAGGGTCAAGGACCGGACCTGCTACTCCTTCACGAAGAACGAACCTTAAGTCTCTGCTAACCGGGTGGCCCCTCGGCCATCATCAGATATACCGTGTGCTACTGTCTATTCTAAGACAGCAATTCCCCTTTTCGAAGGAAAGCGATTACGATAAGGAAGGGCGCATCGGGAGAGTATATGCGCCACACGAAGCAGTTACTTGGCTGCCAAGGAAGCGAAGTGTGGCGCTTTCACGACGAAAGGTGCCCTGGTTGCTGAGCAGGACTTCCGAAGCACTCCGCCCCGAAAGCGTTACGCCCACTAGTTCAGTTGGTGACTTGGCGAGCTGTTTGCTGTTGGCTTTTCATTTTGGAAGATCAACTCCCTTCTAGCGGCTGTATCTTCACTGCGCTTGTTGGCATGATGGCGGCTATCTGGGTTAACACGTCCAAACAACTTCTTTCTTTGTCGCCGCTCATTCATGGTCGAAAATGAACGGGCAAGTAAGTGGTACTAGTTTAAGTATTCAGGATGTATGAGGAATTTCTCCGCTTTTTCCGCCATTGGCGCATCATCGAGCGATCCCATATCTTCTTTGAACCTTACTAGAATCTTCCGTAACCGCTGCCTCTGAAGAGTATGGCAAGCCCGCCTCCATGTTGTTTGTCGTGGAGCCTGACGATATAGGCTTTACCCATGGAATTTTCGAAGTAGGTCAAAACCCTAGTTCCCTCCAAAACCTGGGGTATTATCCGGCGCGCTAATTGATAGCATTTCGTAATATTTAGTTTGTCGATGAGTAATCGTCTTTATAACACGATTAGCCTCCACTTTGGGCGGTTGTGTTGCTTAGTCATAAGCAGCTGAGCTGCTCAAGAATCTGCGCATTTGGAAAGTGGCCACCCTGATCAGATCTTCTAGATCACTTCGGAACGACGCCTTCCCCCAACATCATGGAAACCTTGGGGGATTTGAGAATACACTCATGGTGTTTGGAAAGCATTTGGCATACCACGGCCACCTCCTTCCCGGAAAACTCGCTTTTTTTCCAAAGCAGATGGTGGCACTGAGTAAACTTAGGTGGGTTCCATTATAATTTTCAATAAATCTGTTTTGGTCTTCCAATTATTTGTACTAAACTTGTACAGATTTTTCATGATAACCTAATCTTGCTACCGTAATTCGAGCCTCCATGAACATATGCGTCTTCAAACACATATGTATGCACACTCCTATATATGATTACACACTTGTGTACATGAACGCGAATCCTGTTTATCGTGGTGTATCTACGACTGCAAGAGCTCTGTCAAATGATCATGAAACATACCTGTTTCCGAGGTCCAAGGATTAGCGAAAAAAGCGTAGCCGATGGAGAGCCGGTAAAAGGAAACGAAGCTCCAAAGAAGAAAACAAAGCAGATCACATATATTGGAAATGGAACCCGTACGCTTGTCTCACACCACTTATACGACAGAAGACATCCACCGACTTCACTCGTATTTTTTCCTGCAATTAAATAAAGCTCAAAAGCTGAAAGCCCTTAGCTCAAAAATTCTGTTCACCTTACCTCCATCTGCCAGCAAGTCGAAGGCTGCTGAAAGTAAGTATCTTCCTTGCTAGTGAAGGATGAATAAAGCATTTGCCGTTGATCAATCCTTTGGGATGCGGCACGCATTCTACTTCCATTTGTACATTCGTAGTGGCGTTTGAATGCGATGTGGCCTATACAATGACTTGCGGGGGCCAGCCGATGTACAAGTCAGTGTTTTTATCCTCCCAGACAAGTCTGGTACCAATTAACCGACCCCGGAGGGATGGAAGGCTTGGTTGGCCGGGCGACTCACGACCCAGGATTTGATCCCCGGACCGCTCGCGTGGTAAGCGTGCCACTTGCCACTACACCACTTCCGCCCTTCTTTGCTGATAGGTTCAGAAATATTGAAAGAAGTAGAAAAAGTGAGGACAGAAAAAATAAAGCCGCTCATGTCTATGGCGAAAACATTCCGCACAGGTCCAGGGCATTCAAAATCTCGAGAAGCATTCGGAATCAGTTTCAGCTCGGTCACTGGCTTTACAAAAAAAGAGCGAGTGATTTTATGGAAGTAAGCTAGTTTGATTTCCCCTTGCCTTGCTCCCCCTTTTCAAGTGGTCGGTAGGCTCACAGTTGCTCCTTCACACCATCCAGTACATACCACCACAACGCAACGGAGACCACAAGAGCTGCTATCGCAATCATTTCAGCAAATGTTACAAAGGGCTCCTGAAGGACACAACAACTCCACACGACCGCGAAAACATTCTTGAAGCCACCTCGTCGTCAGAGCCCTATGAATTGCACCGAAACATCATATAAAATTCAAGCAGGAATAAACCATTTTTCGGAAGTGGAATAAATTCTGCTTGGGCAGCTGTTCATCAAGCCAATGTAGGCCTCGCGCCAGATAAAATGTTCCTGAAAATAAAACATTCGTGGAACGATGGTCAAGGGTTCAAGTTGCAAGAAGGATGTCATCGCGCACGCGAATTGTAAGTGCTACCAGAGCTAAACATAGAAAAAATGAATTAGGGTGAAGGATGATCGATAAGTTGCGATCAGGAACGGCACGATGGGAGAGGTGCGGCCAATTATGTTTTATATGTTGTCGAAGGAGCTTAGCACACAGTGTTAGTCGAGGTAAAGCGGAAGCGTGACAAAGTTTTCTTTCATGCATGAATTCTTGCTAATTTTTAAGGTTTTCTTTTCTTCGTCTAGCGAGTAACAGCGGCTTATTCTAGAATGGGTGTCTCGATTTGTTTCTCCAAGTCAGTGCAACAAAATAATGTGATTAACGATTAAAAAATTATCGAGGAAGTGTGGAAAGGAAACAGTTGAGAGTAGCAGGGAGATCGGAGAGGGACCTTAGATTCTTCCGCCGTCTTTCGCAGGCAGAGTAGCACCCCAAAAGGCGAATCCTTCTTCGTAAAAATAACCATTACGTGTATCGTACGCTCGTAAAGGATTCGTGCCAAGATTCTGAATGCACATTTGCAAATGCCCTAAAACCTCACCTCTCCCTGGAACATAAGCGCTCAGTGAAAATTGGTTGAAACGAGCTTTAGATAAAAATCCAAATAGAAACGTTTTCAGTGTTTTGACGCTGGATTACTGTAGTGGTGTTGCGTGGCATGGAACCCCGAATTCTTGGCAGAAGAATAATATAAAGGCTAAGCGTAAGTTGTCGCCTTCAAAATTCTTTCGGAACGAAGCCATCCACCTACTGATCATGTTACAAGATTGCATACAGTTTTCTAACCTTCAGCGATATAGTCTAGCGGCCCATCGTAGAACGGCCATGGGAAGTTGAATACATGAAACAGCAGAAATACCGTCACACCAAACAAAATTTGCTTTCTTTTTTCAGTGAAAAGAAATTGCATTTGCGGCATGCTTCAGAATTAGACCTGAGCGGCCCGGTTTTTAAAAACGGCGGGAAAGCGATCAAGTAATAGACTGAACAGTATTCTGTTCCAAAAAATTACATTTATCCTATGCGAGTATAGCCGATAAGAAAACTGTTCATTGAAGACACTAAGCAGGATGCTGTTTGGAAAATTCCATTGTAAAGAACTGCGTCGGAATTTTTTTATTTATTTTTATTTATTTATGCGTACAATGACGCGCCAGCTACAACAGGCAAAGCGGGACTGACTGCATGACTCAGAAAGAATAGAAAAAAATTATAACATAAACTGAT